AAATAGCTTAAGCTTTAAGCTTTAGTAATATCAGCTAACAAATAATATTGCTAAATATCATTGGGTATATTCAAAAAAAAAAATAAAAAAATAAAAAAATAAAAAATAAAAAATAAAAAATTGAAATTTAAAAAAGAAATAAAAATAAAAAAATGAGTAAATAAGAAATCTAGAAAAAATAAAAAATCAAAAAATTTCATTTCTCTTTTCTTTTGTCTTTTTAAGAAAAGTTTGATCTAGAAATAAAAAATTAGTTTTTTTTTTTTTAGGAAAAAATAAATTAACATTCGAAAAAAATTGAAAGTTTGATTAATTTCATTTTTTCAATTGATAGATATAACATTAGTCGATAGCAATTGCTGAAAATAATAATTGAATGGTAAAATAGAGGAAAAAGCAAAAAAATTGAACGAAATTTTTAGCTTTTTATTTGTTGATAAATTTATTTATTTATTTAGGTTTTTTTAATAGTTAAAATAAAAAATTGCTTTATGCAGAAAAAAAGAAAGCGTTGTCTTTTTTAGTTTAATTTCAAATTTGAATTTCATTTTGATAGATTTTTTTCTACCTGCATAAAATTAACTTTCACTTATTCTTTACAAATGAACGATTAATTAGGTGTTTTTTCATGCTGGTATAATAACTTTCAAGAGTATGATAACATGATGTTTAAACTTTTCCTTCACTCTAATTTTGATATGAAATTTAAACCCAAAATTTGAATTTTTTTCCAAATTCTATTTTTTTTTCTAAATTTTCTACTTTACATATTTATTTTAAATATTGTAACATTTAAAATCGCAATATATTTGTGAAAAGATGAACCAACAATTCTTCATATTAACAACCATATGATTTAATTAAGTTTTTAATTTAATTTAATTTAATCTAAACTAATTTTTAAAATTTAATTCCAAATATTTTTGGTCAAATTAAGAAACGAAATTTACTTATTATATTGTCATCATCCTTTTTTTTTTTTCAGCTGTACCAAAAGTATTATGTGAAGAAAGTGATTTATCATTGGATGTGATAACAGCAAAACCATTTAATGGTAATATATTTGTAAAAGGACGAGCAAAAGATTCGTCATGCAAGCAATCTTATAATTACAATAGTTCTAGTTCATATACATTATCACTTGGTAAATGTGGTATGCAACGTTTACGCTCAGTTAGTTTATTTATAACATTCCATAATTAATATTCATTGAGATAATTGTACAATTAATTTGCATGTTTATATAATTATTGTTTATTAGTATGACTGTATAATAAATTAAAGAATTATTATCTTTTGTATTTGATGTTTTATAATTGAAATTAATGACTCATATTGATTGGTTAATTAATTAAAAATGATTATTTTGGAAAATAAAATCTTTCAATAAATATAGCAAAATTTTTTCCATAATTCAAAAAAAAAAATCAAAATATCGCTTTTAAATTTTTAAAAAACCATTTCAAAGTGATGCATTTTCAAAGTAAAAATTTCAAATTTTTGAAGTAAAAAATTTTCAAAGTTAAAACCACTTCAAATTAATTGTTAATTAATCAAGTTTGATTCAATAAATGAATGTGTTGTTTAAATAAATTTTAAACCAACAAATTTTGTTGATAACGTTTTAAATTTTAAATTGTTCTATATCCTTCATAAATTCTCATTATCATATTTAAAATATTTCTAAAAATTATCGATTCCTCAATTTTTAATAGTTATTAACAAATTTAAAAACAGTAAAAAGAATTCAATTGTAAGTTTAAAAATTAAAAAAAAAAGCAAGTTTCAGATAAATCCACGTGGGGTTAATTTTATTGTAACAGTAATTGTTTCATTTCATCCAGCTGGTTTTATTACTAAAAATGATCGAGCATTTCATATTAAATGTTTTTATATGGAACCAGATACGATTGTTACATCAGCACTTCATGTTAGGTATAATTTTTTTTTTACTGAAAAATTTTTTTTAATAATAAATTTAAGTTTTTGCATGTTTAAATGTGTTTTAGATTAAAATTTTCCATGAAATTTCATCCATAACTGATAAGAATTTGATGTGGCATTAAAGTATTTGCAAATTTTAAAAAATTTTCGATCATTAAAATTCTTAAATTGAAATAAAATACTGGAAATTCCATCAATTATGCAAATTTTTTATGTAGATTACATTGTATTTGTAATTTTTTAATCATCAAATTTTTTTTTTTTTGATTATTCTTCGCATCACAGCTATTAAATCTTTGGATTGAAATGGAATTTGCAAAAAATTTTATCAAGTATGCGAGTTTTTTAATGTAGTTTATACAGTAGCCGTAATTTCTACTTTGCAAATTTGATATCATATAATTTGATATTGTTATCAATTCTTGAGAATTAATTGATTTGATTGACATTCGCTGATAGCAAAAATTATAGCCCATTGGTAACGACAGAATTACAAGATGATTTGAAATTACCCACATGTGAATATACGGTACGACGAGATGGCATTAATGGACCACAAATTACATTTGCAAATGTTGGTGAGACGGTATGTTTGATTATAATTTCGAAACGAAACAGAAAAAAAAACAATTAATTCCATATGATTCCAAACAAACAAATATTTAAATATCGAATTATAATTTAATCCAAATTATGATATTTTCCTTAAAAAAGTCCAATTATATTTATTAATAATAATTGTTGTACTGTTACCAAAATTTTTTAATTTTTCGCCTAATAATTTATTTTGTTTAATTATTGATAAAAATATGTAAAATAATTAGGCGATATATTTGTATAATATAGTTCATTCATCTATTACTATCCCATTTTATTCTTTGATACGGTAATATTGTGTGCTTAATTGCTTTTTTTTTTTTACTTTTAGCTGTATAGATTGTTAACCGCGTGATCTTTCATCTTTTATTTATATAAATACATAAAAAATTTCAATCCATTTTATCAAATTTTTAGTCTAAAAAATATCATAAATTTAGCTAATTGTATTCTTAATGCAATGTTATAATTAATAAAATTAATTAAAAAGCCTTTAGTATTGACTAAAAATTAATCTTTTTAATAATTGATATTTTTTAAAGGTATTTCATGTTTGGGTATGTAATGGTATCGGTATGGGAATGCTTGTTAAAAAATGTTTTGTAACAGATGGCGAAGGCACCGATCATTCTGTTTTAGATTTGGATGGGTAAAAATTATGCATAATTTTAAATGAAACATTAAAATTAAACAATTTAAATATGTTTCAGTTTTTTCTTTCTTTTTGCGCAAAAAGGAAATGAAATATCAGTGTTATACAAAAGATAGATTAAATTTTATCTAAATTTAATTCCGCATTTTTAGCTGTTCATTAGACAATTTTCTATTGAATGAGTTAGTATATGATTCAACATTGATGAAAGCATATGCTCAAAGTCAAGTCTTCAAATATGCTGATAGTAATCGGTTATTTTTTACCTGTCAAATTCAATTATGCCAAAAAACAATGGGTTACTGTGATGGTATTACGGTAAGTAAGCAAATCATCATTACAATTATCGTATCCAATATGAGAAAACATTCATCTGTAAATAAAAAAAAAAAAAAAAGAAAGCATTATTATTGTTTCATAATAAATTCCAAAAAGAATGAAAAAAAACATAAATTGATACTAACTAATTATAATTATTGATTGTTTAATGGTTATATTGTAATTTTAGCCACCAAAATGTTCGGAAGAAGCGCATAACAAAGAAAAGCGCAATCGTCGCTCGATTTCACATATAAGATCATCATCCAATGAAGATAACCAAATAGATAGAAGTACTCTTGAAATGGATATTAGTTCATCGGAAATGCTTATTGGTGGAATTGATGATATGCTAATTGAAACAAAATCCTCATGCTTTTCACCATTTCTCGTTGCTCTCGCTAATTTTGTCCTTTTCATCTTAATTACCGTTCTTTTGGCTATTGTTATAGCAATGAAGAAGGAAACACGAAAAATGATTGTTTGTATCACATATGTTATCATTTGCTGAATATTTTATCAGAAATGATCAAATTATTATTGTGTTAAAGTCGACATACTTACCTATTCATTTTATAAAACCATTGATTGCATTTGTTATTTATCCTATAATTTCATAATAATGTCAATAATAATAATAATAATAATAATAATAATAATAATAATAATAATAATAGTGATAATAATAATAATAATGATAATAATAATAGTAATAATAATAATAATAATAATAATAATATTAATAATAATAATAATAATAATAAT